TAGCTTTATTTTAGAGGTACGCTAATGCACCATTCAAATTGAAGGAATGTGAGCAAGAGGGAAACAGTTGTGTGAAAACAAACCATCCCTGTGTGCTTGATAGAGAAAGACGATTAAACGTCAAAAAGGTCTATTGACGGATGTGAGTAGATCCTACTCAAGTTTGGGTTGTGGAGTTAATCCTGCAGTCAATAAAGGCGAACATTGATACACCCAACCGGTGGATGTAAGATTCGCTTACAATTATATGGGATTCATCATCAGAGGATGTAGGTGGAGACCGCATGAACCGAGGATGCGATATACCTAGCTACGGTCCAATGCAAGAAAATTGGAGACCGAAAAATGTAGAGTGTGTAGAGTGTAAATTAATTATGTCGAAAAAAAAAATAGGAAAAACGTTGTCGACTGGACTCGAACAACGAACGTTGCGATTATCAGACCTGTGCTTTCTCCACTGATCTCTCCATGCTTCTGAATAAGGACAGCCTAAAAGCAAACAAGAAGCGCTCATTTCCTCTCACACTCGACTTCGTATGCTTTTTCTGCTGGAGAGATTCGAGGCAAGTGTGTGCGTCATTCTACCATGTTATACATAAAAATCAAGGCAAATGCTTGCTTGTATATGTGAAAGCACAGACAGAACACGAAATAAAAAAGGCAAAAAACCATTACATCGCCTGCAAGGTCAACTTCTAACATTCGCTGCGATGTTCATGAACAGAGGATGATAGGAAATGGAACTAACATTCATTGTTATAGATTTTTGGTTTGCGTGTACTAATTGTATAAAACACATGTAAATGCTTAATGATTGTTAATCAACAAATTTAATGTTGCATTGAAATACTTTAAATCGTGTTAAATTTAAATGTTCCCTCATTTCACATCCGTTGAACCATTGCTAATGATGTATATATTAGACCTGTTCATTTTAACAGAAATGTTCGGGATGCACCGTGATTACTGTTCGTCATGTAAATTTGAACTTCTGTGCAAATTTTCAGCTAAATGATAGTTACACTTGCCATTGATAAAAAAAACACGTCTACTGAGGATTCATATTTCTAAAAAAAATCATCTTTCAATCAAACAGTCATCGGTCGTCATTGAAAAGCAATGCAACTATGTTCTGTCAATCTAATTTAAACTTTTAGTGGCTCTGCTGTCTTGTGAATTTTAGCTATAACGGACTCTTTTCTGATTTTTATCTCTCAATCTATGGAATCTACATGAAAACTATGTTGCAACGAAATTTCTAGAACAGTATAAGAAACATTATGCCGTAGACTACACATTTTTATATCATACTAGCTGAGTGTGCCCGGTCTTGCTCGGGATTCAATATTAGCTTGAGTTTATGCGCCGATTTAAAAAAAAAGCATGCTATATTGTACGTAGCCCCCCCCCCCCTATTATCTAAGGGGCTACCCCCTATGATTATCTCCTTATACCCCCACACTCGCCCCCACATGCCTAATTTGGTTCCATTTGCTTGATTAGTTCTCGAGTTATGCAGAAATTTCTGTTTCATTTGTTATTCGAACCATCATAAGAACCTTCCACGGCCCCAAAAACCCCTGTATACAAATTTTCACGCCAATCGGTTCAGTAGTTTCCGAGTCTATAAGGGTCAGACAGACAGACAGACAGACAGACAGACAGACACAGACAGACAGAAATTCATTTTTATATATATATAGATTGGCGGAAAGTTCGTAGAACATTAAGCTTTGCTATGAAAGTTGTTACAGCAGTTTTCGTTGTTTCAGTCTCGAGATACAAATATTATAAGCCGTAAATTACCTTAAAAACATAAAATTAACTTGAAGCACCTCTAAATTAAATTATCACCGATTTTACTAAAAATTTGCACAGAAGTTCAAATTAACATGACGAACAGTAATCAAGGTTGACCCGATGCATCCCGAATATTTCTGTTAGCATGAACAGGTCTAGTATACATGTATATTTTTTCCGGAACCATGGAGTCAACAAAGTAAAAGTGAAAAAAGTGCTGCAAAATGAAGCACATGCGATACGACAATGGAGTGATGCTCGTTAAGAAAATACCCGGAGACATTGTCTATTTTACGCAATGGTGTTACGATTTTATAGCTAGGAACTCTACGATTTCACAAATAGGCCCGACAGTTGGTGAGTTCATTTAAAATTTTAAATTTTTATTATACAGGGGAAATGCAAGTAATGTCGGCCTAAGTGTCCCTAATTTGGGTCCATACATAAATTCAGCAATCGACTAAATTTTCAATAGCAACCAAAAATATCCATTAGTAGCGTCCCAATAACGTCTAGATACAATTGATAAATAGCAGATTTTTAGCGATGGGCCCAATCTTAGATCCATAGGCCAACATTAGATAAATTTCCCCTATACAAAACAATGCTGGGATTGTAAGGGACCATAGGGTACCCGATCGAAGAGATTTGGACGGGGAGAGGAGGAATGCCAACTCCCTGTGTTAACATTTCGTGGATAAAAGTCGGACTCTTCTCCCCACTTATTGGGGCATTTTCCTGTTTGGGGGCTCGTCTTTTTGACCAATTGTGCGATCATGTTCCTGAAAGGAGATTATTTACTGTCCCGTAGATGCGTATAGGCGACTTTGCCTATCGATCCACCCAATCCGTTTTTGGTCCTTCATGTTGCGACATGTTGAGGACAATCAGAGGTTATTAAGCTTGATCAAGAAAATCAAAGAAGAGCTCACTACTATCGGACTTAGTTTCCCTGCTACAATGGGTGATAGACTATCGTGCATCATGCAATCAATAAAGCCCTCTAGTAAAAGTATGGACGCCCCGTAGCGTGGGTAGATCACCTTTTCGTGGTACGTTACGGGATGTAAGATCTAGCACCGATTTCTAGTCTTGACTACTTCAAACTAGGGGAACAGGATTTTTCAGTAATCCAAGGAGCACATCTTAGTTACTTTTTATGCCTTGTTGATAGTGATAAGTCCTCGGGTTGCCTGAACCGATGATGATCTTGAAACAAGGAAAAATGAGTTAGTTAGTCTTCATCTATGTGATTCCTAATCTTTTATTCGTTGTTCCCTAGTTTGAGGTGGTTAAGACTAGGGTTCTGATGCATGGTCACTATCGGTGTCATTCCTTAATTTTGTTACTAAGGAATCCAATTTTGACTGACAAAGGGGCGCGCCTTTGGAGGGTGTTCCAACACTTCGAAGGGTATACATAGCGGGACCTGTCAATTTGCAATGAAGGCAAGAATAAAAACTGTATCAAAACCGAATACTTTATCATTTCTCAATAGTGATGAAGTAATACGACATGCACTAAACTAAGGACACGGTTTATACTACAATAAATCAAATTACTGGTCGCAGTAGTTTTATGTCCCGAACAGAGGGAAAAAAGTATGGACGTCTGCTAAAAGTTGTTCCTATCGAACTGTCAAAAAGTACTGCTTTGCTCGATTGGAACAATTTTTTTAGTTTTATACCCCGTTCACATTACAGCCTATATCACGTAATATAGGCTGTCTTGCAATGAGCACTCATACATAAAATTTCCAGTGAAAACTAGATGTATGAGTGCTCATTGCAAGACTGCCAATATTACATGATATAAGCCATAGTCTGTACGGGGTATTAGCCGTCGAAACAAACTACTACACAAAGAATACTCTAGCAAAGTGTATCCTGTATTCGGAAAAACAAAAGTACCCAACAGTTCAGTTATTTTATTTTAGTATTTAGAAGAACAAAAGATAGCGGTGCCGGTGGTGTACTGGTAAGCGTGATTGCCTCTCACCCCAAAAGGCCTGGGTTCAATCCCAGTCGATGCCGCCGGAATTTTCTGAGGCATAAAATCTTTGATCACGCCTTCCTTCGGAAGGGAAGTAAAGCCGTTGGTCCCCGGTTTATGAGTTGATTGGTCGATAGGTGGTAGGGTCCAGGTGTTTGGAGCTGCCTTCCTGGCGTCGGTAGTATTGGTATTTAGTACGGAAAATAAGATCGACGGAAAAAAACCTAACAGCTAAAAAGCTGTGAGTGTGTTAGTGAGCAGGTGTTGCCGATACAAGATTTTTAATTGTCAGATCTATCAGTTCAACTGTAAACAGTTCCTGGTTAAACTTTTCGGTTAACAAAAAAAGAGAGATGAACTAGCCTATGGCTAAAAATCTCTTAAATAAAGAATTAAAAAAAAGAAAGGTAAACAAAAAAAAAATCAGCTGATCCCAGTTATCACATGGAATGCCTTGTTTCGTTCACCTCGTACCTCCATATTGTTTAAGGTGGTGACTTTTTGGGCTTAGCTTTGGTTTTCATTTAGGAACTATTTTTTTTTTCTTTCTTTATTTAGGAGATTTTTAACCATTTAGGAACTACTCGATAGGTTTTGGTGTTGAAAATGGAGCGTCATAAGCGCCCCCAGAGATGTTGATCTCTGTGAAGGGGGCGCTGAACGCAGATAGCAATTTCACACTAGTTCAACACTTTTTTAGGTCATGTAGGATTCTATTTTGCTTATGATAAGTGACGTTATGTGACGCTTTAAATTTTACGTATTCTGTTCAGTTTTCATTCCAACGGGAAATGTTACACCAAGATTTGCATTAGTACATACATAGAATTTCAAATTCAAATGACCTTCGGGATAAATCCAGACAAGGGGCTGTCCCAAATCCACGTGAACGCTTTCACACTTTTAAGACATTCGTGACTTGTCCGGGGATGAGATTTGAACTCGTGACTTTGGCGTGATCGATTTTTACCAGTATCCCGGGACCGTCCCCTTTTTTGAGAGATTTTAGACGTTGTATCAATTAATGAATTGTTTTCATTATCGAAACTCCTTCTTTTGAATCGTTATAACCGTCATACTAAAAATCATCTAACGCACTGTGCTGGACAAGCTGTATGAAATCCAATTAACCCACACAAAAAAATTATCTCGGTGCATCACAAGCTCGAAGCTTCAATCAATGTTGCGTTATTATGTATAGTTACAAGTTACATCATTGAAAAACGCGACACAAAAATCGATTTCTTCACCTCATCGGCATATAAAATATAAAATTGTATATAAATAACCAAATATGTGGTAATCGCTCCAATCATCTGCAAATGGAAATAGAATTCAGTTATTGCGCTCTTTCCCACTGACATAGAAAACAATTACCCCGCACAGCATGTTGCAATCGATGAAGAAAAATCCCATCGCTGAGAACTTGAACATCTTGTTGGCCGTCTGAAAGGGTGTCGTTATCTTGATGATTTCCTGTCACAAAAAAAGCGTTATTTCTATGAGCAATGCGGGATTTCGAAAGGAAACATCACTCTATACCTCGGAGGTCATGTGACGTGATCCGCGAAGTTGAAGGTCGGCGACGAGGTCGTTTGCCACTTTTGAATGGTTGGAAATGTTTTCGCAGAGCAGGACAATGGTCAGCAGCACGGAAAGGTTCATGGCGATGGTGTTGAAGCAGACCATCAGGGACCAGATGGTGAATCCGTTCTTGCCGGTGAACCAGTACAGGATGGTGTAGCTGTAGTACAGTTGAATGGTGGTGATGATGAAGATCGACGTAAAGGTGATTAAGAACAGCAAACCGAAGTACTTGTCGAGTAGTTTGCAGATGTCGTGCAGGTCGTTGTAGCGATATAGGATCTTGGGTAGCCAGTAGTATTTGTTGTGACTGACATCGTGGAATTCAACTACGTGGAGGTTTTGTTTCGAGGTTCGTATGAAGCAGGTCGAGGCACGGAGCTTCATCGGGGCCTTTCTGTGATCAGGGACGTTATTCTGTTCCATGAGCAGAAGTTCGTTCAATATTTTGAAACGAGAGTTAACGTAAAGCAGAAGCAGAACAGCCTTGGTGACTGCTATGACATTGACTAAGTGAGGAAAGATGGTTATCAGCCAGTAGTCGAAGGTAACGTAGCCATTGAGCACAGTAACGTAGCAATCGAAGGTGGTCATCCCGATCAGAAACATGATGATCCCTGTGATAATACCGATGTTCCAGCGAACTTGAACCGTGTAGTTGGGATGGATTGCATCCTTGTTCAACTCATCTTCGAATTTCTTCAAAGAACGAATAATCTCCGCGAAGATTTTGACCTTGAACGCCGGCGAGATCAGCAGCGTTGTCAACATGATGGCATTGCTGATTAGTTGAAAATAGTTTGAAATACGAGAAATCCGATCGTTTCCATAGACCCTGGTGGCGATCGAGATGACGAGTGAAGTCCAGTACAGCGTGATGAAGGTTCCGATCCCACAGCACAGTGGCTTCGACAACTTGATCCGGGAGGTCTTCATATCGTACGGAATGAGGCCCAGAATGCGGTAGAATTTGGTGTTCATCTGAACGATTGAGGTGATTGTGGTGGTTGATGTCTTTTCCTTCATGTTTCGCCAGGTTTTGATGTTCATTCGTGGAACGTTTGCTAACTGTGGTAACAGCAGCTGCAAGCATTGGTCTTTTATAGAATGCTCCATTAGCGCTATGCTGAATAATTTAGTAACGATATAGAAACATGCAATGCATTAACTATTAGGAAATGGTTTACTTCGTTCTGATTTCATTTTGCGTCATTTAATAGAACGAATAAAAACGATGAATGATTACACTCATTTCGACGACAAATTTAGGAAAAAATCTGACGGCCTTATCAACAGTTTGTCTTATTTGTATTAACGTTCATTGATTGACAAATATTCCAGCAAGTTCATTATCATTAAACTGATATTCAACTAGAAGTTGCTAGACAAACACATTGATATGGGTTTAATTGCGTGCTGTAAATATGTACTAGAGTTGTAAGAATTCTTCCTCTGTGCTCCAATGACTGTAATTTGTGGTTGATAATGATAAGCGTAAGTGGCAGCTGTATGGACGACTGTTTGCATTTTTTGCTCAAAATGCGTTTAAGAATTGAAAAAAAGGAATTGGTCATCTGAACAACTTTGTTCCATACGGCAACTTACTGTACGGCCATGATCACCAGATATTCTGTGTTGAACCCAAATGTCATATATTATAGCGGCGTAGTTCCCAATTAAACCTATATCCAATGGCATAAGCATGTTGATCTAACCCAGTTCAACAATTTCGTTGAAATTAAACGGTTACATATACGCAAAATCGGCCAAAAAATCGATTTTTCAAAAATGGTCAAATTCGATTCGTATTTGTAAACACGTGTTAGTGTTAGCACAGACAAACAGACGTAACACTTTGAAAAAGTTTTTCTTGAAAACATAGTATCTCAAAACATAGGACCTCAGTAACGACATCTCTCTGGCTTCTCGTGGAAAACAAGATTGCTCGCTAACTCGCAAACAATATTGCATAAAAGTTCTATAGAATGTATAGAAACGTCAAAGTAATTCGATGTTAGCGCTGCGGCGAGTAGTTCGCGGAACTGATAATATTCAAATCAACCGTTAAATGCGTGAACGAAGATACACAATGAAGAGTTACGGCTGTTTGTCTATGGTATTAGTATTAATAAATACGTATTCGCATTAGTAAACACGTTACTGTTTGCGAACTGTAAAACTGGGTGCTGCCTCAAAAATGGCAGCAGACGTTTTTGGAGGCATTCATTTTTTGTAAATTCCACAATTGATGGTGCCCTTTGTGACGAATATTTTACTTCTTTTTCCACAGATGCAGATTTGCCAAATAAGGCATTTTGATGCAAATTTCGACATTTTCTTTTTCTTGAAACGATCATCCACTTGCAACTTATCTTTTTTGGTGTAAAACTTCTGTCCTGGTATTTTTTGGAAGTCAGCTTTGACGTATGTTTCATCATCAATCACACAGCAACTGTATCTGGTCAACATTTCTGTGTAGAGTTTCCTTGTGTGGGGTTTGGCAACAGATTGCTGGCGTTCATCGCGGTTTGGGATGTTTTGAACCTTGAATGCATTTAATCCAGTTCTTGTCTTTACCTTCTGCACGTACCTTTGCGAAACACCAACCTTTTTGGCAACATCACGTGTTGAAATGTTGGGATTTCGGGTGAAATTACCCTTCACCTTTCCCTACGCCTTCCTACATGCTGCTCCCGGTTTCCTTCCTGCTCCTTGCTTTTGATGCATTGTCAACGAACCTGTCCTTGAACCTGTTTGTAACTCTTGATACGGTTGAATTATTGATATGCAGTATTTTTCCTAAAGCACGACAGCTCTGAATTTTCCATGTGAACGTACAACATTTTTTCACACTTCCTTCTTCTTCTTCTTATTCTTCTTCTTTATATTCTTCTTCTTCTTCTTCTTCTTCTCCTTCTTCTTCTTCATTCCTTTATTTAAAGTCGGTATCTGTTCCTCAATCTAGTGCCAATCACCGACGGACATCGATTGCCATCCATTGACGGCAATCGAATGTGCAGGAAGTCAGCTTCCACACCTGCGTAGGATATCGCACCCATTCATCAACACACATGGGCTACAAAATGGTGAGTAGACAACCTGGAAGGAGCGGAATACCTAGCCCTGGTCCTCACAAGTTCCTACTTCACGCCTCCCCGAGTCATATGATAACAAAAGACTACCAGCTAAAACATGGACACAGCTGGGTGGCGTAGCCTGGGCAATGTTGCCAGTCCGGTGAAGAGGCGCAACGCGAACACTGGCGTGATAACCATAGTACGGTGATAGAGGAAATGCTTCACCAAACCCGAGCGTCTGTTCACCATGGAGGTGCGGTTCAAAACGGCGCCTGTTCTCCATGTTAGGAGCGGCTGATAACCGTCCTAGTGCCAGCGTGGGACTCTAAACAGAGCTATGCACGATGGTCCCCCGGCGAGACAGGGGGTTGGGGCAGGCCCAACAAGCTGCCATGGAAAAAACATTAAGTTGCAAATACTGAAGAAAGAAACTCGGATCGGAACAATCGACACAGACCTACGCGACGAAATAAGGACTACGATTGGAAACTCGGAACATGAAACTGCAAATCGCTCGGCTTCCCGGGCTGCGATAGGTTAATCTATGACGAACTTCAACCACGCAGCATCGAAGTCGTAGCACTGCAGGAACTTTGCTGTACGGGACAAAAGGTAGCTGTGGCACCACCAACGAGCTGGGAACCGGCCCAACTAACAATTTTCACAACGTAAACACTTTACTCATTTCATTTATACAGCCTCAAGCTGTATTCAAACGGTATACGATATGAAGAAACCTTTACTCAACCTCTATACAAGCAAATCTGGCGAACTTACTCAGCTACTTATGGCTGTAGGAACGGTCGGGAGAAGCTCTTATTGCATATCCATTAACGCTTCTATCAGCTGTTATCCTGCTGTTTAGTTGTGTGTGAACTTGAAAGGCGCTTATTCAACCACTTCCCGGTTATCCAATAATCACTACACAGCTTTCTCTTGAAGCCGGGTTAAATACTGTTTACGCTTTTTTATGAAGGAATTTATTGAGTTTATTATGCTGTGAATCAAATTAATCGAAATTAGTTACAAATAATCACCAAATTATTTACCCTGCACCGGAGGAACCTGGAATCGAACTCGAGACGACCTCATTGGCAAACCTTGACACTACCAACTGTGCTACGCCAACACTTTGAACTGATGTAAACAAATCAACATTCCCTTCTACAACAAAATCGCTGAGTGGAGGCTTTATAATAGTGCACACTGCACTCTGCTCTCGACTAGTTATAAAAGAGCAGAGTAAAAGCTGTAAAACTGCACACGTCTAAAAATAAACCTAGTTGACTGTGAAAATGCTTCCGAAGTTGCTCTAACACAGTTTATAAGCTGAGTACAGGTTGTGTAGTTGTTGAAAAAAAAAAAAAATAAGAGATGAACTAGCCTCAGGCTAAAAATCTCTGTAATAAAGAAAAAAAAAAAAAAAAAAAAAAAAGTTGTTGAAAAAGCACTTTTGATGTTTATGTTATTCAGCAAGAGTGGTTGGTTGTGTAGAAGCCATCAAATGAGTAACATATTCACTTTGCTAGCTTTGTTTTGCCGCTACAAGTTGAAAGTTGATTAGTGTGTGTATAGAAGTGACATTAGCGTTTATTGGCTGATGTTATTCAGTGCGACTAACAAATTGAATAATGGTTGTGAGAAAGTTGAGTAAACGCTCTCCAAAACTATTTAGCTAGCTTTTGCTTGTAGCTGTATCGGCAGCTTCTTTTCAGCTACTTTACAGTACAACGCTGGAAAAGTTGGCTTACAAAGCTGAAAATGTTAGTTGGGCGGCTTTGTAGTGCTGGGTAAGATGCGCCAACGCGTGATTGGTTGGCAGCCAATCAACGTGAGGATGTGCAAGTTGAGGATTAAGGGCCGTTTCTTCAACTACAGCATCATCAACGTGCACTACCCACACGAAGGGAGACCCGACGACGAAAAAGAAGCGTTCTATGCGCAGCTGGAGCAGGTATACGACGACTGTTCGCAACGGGTCGTCAAAATCGTCATCGGCGACATGAACGCTCAGGTAGGACGGGAGGCAATTTATAGACCGGCAATCGGGCCAAACAGCCTGTATGCCGTATCGAACGACAACGGCCAACGTTGCGTGAACTTTGCAGCCTTTCGGGGTATGGTAGTTCGAAGTACCTTTTTCCCCCGCAAGGATATCCACAAAGCCACCTGGAGATCACTTGACCAACACACAGAAAACCAAATCGACCACGTTCTAATAGACGGAAAATTCTTCTCCGACATTATCAACGTTCGCACGTACCGCTGTGCGAACATAGATTCGGACCACTACGTAGTAGGCAGTACTGCTGCAGTGGCACTAGGTACTGCAATCCCGGACCGAAAAAATGACTGGTTCGGCGAATGCAAATTTCCGGATAAACTGACGCGATTGGTCAAGGCGACGATGGATTGAGTGATGTGCGTTGTTCGAGTATCAGGGACACTCTTGAGTCCCTTTGAATCTCGAAGGGGGTTACGGCAAAGTGATGAACTTTCGTGTCTGCTATTCAACATTGCATTAGAAGGTGCGATCAGAAGAGCTGGGATAGACACGAGTGGCACGATCTTCAGGAAGTCCATCCAGCTTCTTGGCTTCGCCGATGACATCGATGCGTACCATGAAACTTTGAGACGATGACGGAAACGGACATCAGACTGAAGGCTGAAACTAGGCGGATTGGACTTGCCATCAACGCATCAAAGACAAAATACATGAAAGGAAGAGGATCTAGGGAAGATAATGTTAGCCCCCCAGCCCGAGTTCAGATTGACGGTGACGAAATCGAGGTGGTCGATGAGTTCGTGTATTTGGGCTCACTGGTGACCGCCGAAAATGATACCAGCAGAGAAACTCAAAGACGCATTATGGCAGGGAGTCGTGACTACTGTGGACTCTGGAGGACGCTCCGGTCGAATAAAATTCGCCACCGCACGAAGTTGACTGTCTACAAGACGCTGATTAGACCGCTGGTCCTCTACGGCCACGAGACCTGGACTATGCTCGTGGAGGACAAACGCGCCCTTGGTGTTTTCGAACGGAAGGTGTTGCGTACCATCTACGGTGGAGTGGCCGCATCGAAACAGACAATAACGCAATTTACAGGATGTAAACAATACACTACAAAGAGAAACTATCGTATGCGTAATAATTTTTGCACCATTGAGCAATGTTAAAATTAAAAAAAATCTCAAAAGTTTCGTTTTCGAGTTTTTTTTATTTATTTAAAGGGGGGATGTTTCTCAGAGTCTTAAACTACGTTAATCATCCATCGAATTTCAACTTGCTGTAATTACGGCCTTCACACGCTTCCGGAATGCACGGCAGGTTCTAATAATGTAGTCTGGATTTATTTCTCTCCAGGTACGGGCCAATGTTTGCCTGAGGCTTGCTGTACTCGGGTTGCGTTTAGAACAGGGCTTGGCCTTCATGACGCGGATTAAGGTCAGGGCTGGATGGCGGCCACATATCCTTCACCCAGAACGGAAGATGTTCCTGCAACCACTTCTGAGTGCGGTTCGAGGTGTGGCACGGAGCCCCATCTTGTTGAAATACAACATTTGACTTCGGATTGTACTGTTCTTTGATCCACGGAAGAACATACTTACTTAAAATCCCGATGTAGACCTCCGTGTTGACCTTTTCGCTTTCTGGAATGAACATCGGGTCCATTTTTTTGCCATCGGAAGCCATCAATCCAAACACCATAACGCTAGCAGGATGCTTGGTCCAGGCATGGCAAATCACTTACATTAATTTCGTGCATTAATTTACATTCATTTGCCTCTAACTTTTTCCATCAACAGAATTCCGTTAAATGATGTATGAAACTTTTGTAGGTTTTGATATTTACTACAACTTTTGGCGATAACTTAAATCTGTACCTCTTATGCATGACGAACTAGAGCGGGCAGAACTTGTTACTATTTTTCAGTGAAAGTTATTAAAGTTCTGTTCGCCCCGGTTCATCATGCATAAGATATACAGATTTGAGTTATTGTAAAAGGTTGTAGCCAATGACAAAACCTACAAAAGCTTCATACATCATTTCATGTAATTCTGTTGATGAAAAAAGTTAGAGGCAAATGAATGTAAATGAATGCACGAAATAAATGTAAATAATTTGCCAAGCCTGGCTTGGTCAGATACACGTTCTTGTGCTCGTTGGCCAAGTCTTTTACCGGAAAAGAACTTATATACCGATCGGTTCTGGAATTTGATACGGGATCGACGGTAAACATGCTCTCGTCGGTGAGCAGGATTACCTGATTTTTTCGCTTAAGGAAGTTCAAGATTTTCTTGCATCGTTCAACTCGTAGCTCCCGGATGCGGTTGGTAATCATGTGAGTTTTTTTTCCGTGCCCTCGACTTCGCCCCGCAATCCTCCTTAACGATCTTCCGTGCCGTAAAGTCGCTGAACCCGTGTTCCTTTGCCATTTTCCTTATTGAACGCACTGGATTCACCCGAATCTTACTTTTGATCGCTGCTATCAAAAGTATGATTCGGGTGAATCCAGTGCGTTCAATAAGGACCCTCGGAGCCCGAACTGACATCGGACGACCTGTGGCGACCTTCGCGGATAGTTGTCCTTGCTTTTCTCGGTTTAAAACCCTTTTGACGGTCCACCGGGACACTACCACGGCGATTGAAATATCTTTTTGCGACATTTGCGTGTGGGACAAATCACGAATACGCTGCCACTTGGTCATGGTGCAACTGTCAAACTAAGTAAATCATTTCCTTTTATACACAGCCTACTACGGTATGAGCTATAGGTTACGTGCATGCAAAGAAAACCAAGGCATTGTATGCACAGGTGAAACGGGAACCTTATTTGTACGATGGTGCAAACATTATCACGCATACGGTATGTCATTGTTTGGTTAATTTCCGCCAAGTAGGAATAAATATACAGCCAGTTGTAATAATTTCGTGTTCGCCCTTTAGCCTATTGGTATCAAGTACATATATAAGAATACCCCATTCTAGTCGAAATTCTAGTACTACACTATGTTTGTTTTGATTCGCTATGAAAGTTTTGGGGTTCGTGGATTTTCCTATTTTTCGTTGATTGACGAACGCATCAAACCGATACAAGCTAATCGCACACTATTACACAAGTTTTGCACTTGAGCTCAATTATTCCAATGAGCTGGATGTTCGACGGAATTTTAGGTACGTGTTTAGTAAAAATAACCCACGGACCATGGCGGCGGATCTCACGACGGTAAGTGCAGCTTTTCAATTTCCCTGGACCGATTTGTGTCTGCGTCTGGTTGTTTTTCATTTATGTGAGGTGTATGTATTGAGCTGCTAGGAATGCTACGATGTCCACGCTGCAGCGAACAAGTCCGAGGTCGAACCGCCCAAAGTGCAGCGTCGAATGATTGTGCAGCTTTGGCTTGTGTCGTTAGGGATCAACTTTCTGATGACTGTGTTAGGGGTGTTATATTTTCCATTGTTAACTATTTAAATATTCAACAATTATAATGTTCGACATACCACATAAATCTTATGACACTGGTGAATCGATCGACATAGAAATCATCAAAAACCATTGATTATTGGCCAAGTTATTAGCATTTAAAGTCTAGCCAATTTTCGTTATATTTTCCTGAATGGCATCCTTCCCGAAAGACATAGTCCTACGTAAAAACGCTCTTCCACGTCTCTTTCGAAAGAAAGTGTTGTCTCCTAACACCGTGTGTTTTACTCGCAGAAATTTGAATAGCACCCGATCCCTGCCTGAAAGTAGACATGAGGAATTTCAAATGATTATTCCTTTATTTTACATCAGAAATATGGTCTCAATAGAGTGTTAAACTGTTATTCATACAGTAAAACATCTAAAAATTTTACGAAAAGTGAACTCGTTTTATTCTTTCGCGATATCTGCCGTTGAAAGCTTAATTTGTTGTCCATGATTTTAACACCTGTGTGATGTTTTGCACCAAATACATTTTTAAATTATCAGTATGTCAATATACGACATCATGATGAGGAAATGTTTGTGAAACCTCCAGATGAAATCAAGCCCAATCCGTTACCCGTAAAAATCATCTGAGGAAAAGTTATCTTTGTTTTTCTACAAGTGGGCATTTCACCCAAGGGTTGCATAAGGGCTACTCGAGCAGAGAATGAAAACAAAATGAAAACTAATTTTGATATTTTGATATAAGCGTTCGGGATAACATATTTTGCCTACCGTATGGTCGAGTTAACAGTAATCATAACAAAAATGTGATCTAAATGGTATATGAAGGATATCAAAAAGATAACAAATCATGTTTTTTTGATAACAAATCCATGTATGCGTTTTGATATCAGTAATTTCGTTAATTGTAAACAAAATAAGTTATCAATATGTTATTACAACTATGGTAGGAAAACAAAAATATAAAAAATAAACTAAACTAGTTATTATTTTGATGTCATGAAATCAAATTTAGTAATCTGAATGTTTTGAAATCTATTGGTTTTTTCAAGATTCAAAATCAAAAAATGTTATTAATAAGTTTTAATCTATTCAAAATAAAAACAAACCTATATTTCAATCAGTTCTATTGATATCTATCTTATTTATATCGATTAGTAAATTGAATTCGCAGGTAGATTAATATCAATAAATGTTGTAAAATATAACTGTACAAATCATAATTCCAGCTGAGCATTGCATTAGGTCCTAAGTAACATTGACAGATTCTCTTCGTCGACTTTCCCTTTGTATCTCCACGGCCATGTAAAGACATTCCCAGGTATTTTCAGCAGACAGATCTGTAAAAGAAGCTTTTATCTTGTAACTAGTACGACAAACACAACAAAGAAACGGTTTTGTACTCAAGTTATTAACGAAAGAGAATGTCGACGAAGATAATCGATCAATGTTACTTAAGACCTAATGCAATGTTCAGCTTGAATTGTCTTTGTAATGTTCATAAAAAAATAGCAAGCATGCTGATTTACACGTAAAAAAAATAACAAAATGTAGATTTCAGTGATAAATTTGGAAGCTCATTTAAAAAACTATCAAATTTTACATAGGGGAAATGATGGCTTCGGCATGCCAGACTATTTTCGGCAACCAAAATTGAAACACTATTTTCACTGGATTTTCTTACGAAAACACTTCGCTGAATGCATGCAAACGATTCTTTATACTTTCAGCTTCAATTTGACTATAGTTTTACCACTGAGAAAAAGCAATCTAGCAAGGTTTTCTTGAAATGAAACACACGCACTACAAATTGTAGCTAATTTCGAGTTGCCGATAATAGAACAGCAGATTTACATGCAGTTCAAATGGAATGGTTGCCGAAGAAAAACTGGTTGCCGACAATACTCGCTCTCACTAGAGAAGATTTGAGCTTTGTAAAAGCGTTTCAAAACAGTTTTTGACAATTCTTTCGACTGAAATTGTTAGAGCAGCTGGCAGCAAAAGATTGCAAACAAACCAATACTGCATATGTGTGCGTTCCTTAGAGAAAAAGGCTATAGAAAGAAGGTCGCTCCTTAGGTTGCCGATAATACGTAAATTCCCCTAGTTGAAGATGCTAATTTCAAATAACAGACTGTAGTGGTAATTTTTATACGATAGATGGAGTAGATGAAAGCATAGAGTTGATAGTTCCGTTAGAGTACGGCAGTGTGAAGATTGTATATAGATATTAGACAAGCGAGCTAGGACAACTTTTAAGGAAGGTACAAATCGGTTTTTTCATCTCTCTTTACCAAACTCCCCCTTTGGAGAGGGATGGTGAGGGGTGTCCCCCCCCCCCCGCCACCACTGGCAAAAACACTGCCGTACTCTAACGGAACTATCAACTCTATGCTTTCATCTACTCCATCTATCGTATAAAAATTACCACTACAGTCTGTTATTTGAAATTAGCATCTTCAACTATGTAAATCGTTGACTTCACGTAGAAGTAATACTAAAAACATATAGTCAAAGTATCAAATTTTGTTTTTAATCATATTTTATAGAAATATCAAAAAAAATATCAAAATATAAACTCACTGAAATTAAAAAATAGTATATCAAAATATGTTAGCAATATGATTTCAGGAACATAATTTGATCTCATTTTGATATTATTTTGATATCCGACTTTGCTCGGGTATTTTTCCCTGCAGGTACGCGTGTTGGGGTTCGTATTTTTTAGGTCCAATTAGAGAACCACTAGTGCCATAACTGGTACACTACCCCTCGATAATGTGCACTTTCCAAAATTGCAATAGGGGTTGCTCTTAAAAGAAAGTGCATGCAATTGAGGAGGATGGGCATATGAAAAATCAGTGAGTATTCAGCTCTAAATTTACTATGGCAGCACTGTTCTCTGTGTTCAATCTTGGACCAGTGAAATGGAGAATTATGATTCAACATTATTTCCTCACTTCATTTCATTCTCTCAACGCAATTAGTCCGACGTTTTGTTTCCTTACTTTGTAGAAGATTCTTATCAATTTACTTTCTCTCCTTTTTTGTCGCAACCAACAAAAAACGACTTCCCATCAAATCCGCCGAAGCTTATCTGTATGATGTCTTGATTTTTTCTACCCATCATTTCAATAATCTGCTACCGAGAGGAAGCCTTACATGTGCTCAAGAAGCAACATGTTTTACTTCGTTTTCTTGCTACTGTTTAATCTGCTTAATCTGAAACCTTCCCGGATACTTCCTGCTTCAATCTCAAATTTACTTACTGATTGTTCATTATGAATAGTAAAATTGAAAATATTTGTTTTTCAATTCTAAACCCCAGTGGCTTTATCACCTCAGGTTGGTTGGACGCATTTCAAAACAGACTGATAAATTGAACAATTCCTACTGATTGCAATGTTCAAATTCTTCTGATTTAATCCAGGTGTTGTCTGTACGAACGCAGCAGAGATAATGGAACACACGTGCTGAACCTTCTCCCGCTGCAGTGCTGCTGTTGCAGTAACGGCTCTCCTTAATAATGTAACAAAACACCACTCACCGGACGATTTGCACGCTCCGTTGTCGCTTTGAATTCAAGGCGGGCAAGCCGCCGCAGTGTGTAAAATAAAAGAAAATTCTTCGCTGGTCGGTAGTCGTTTTTTTTCAAACAAATTGAGTTATAATATGGTCAAGTCCTGTTCCTGGACCGTCAGTCCGGTTTCAATCGTCAACGGGAAAACAAGTGGCTTCCTCTTCGATTCTAACTTACCACTGGGTAAAAGTTGTGCCGGTGCAGCAAGTTCAAGTGCCCCTCCCCGTCCGTTCAAGTGATTGTTAGAAACTGTTTCTCTAGAAGAAGAAATTAGAGATGACTGACAAGTACAAACAAACAAATACCAATGGATTACCGAACCGGAATCTCAACGTGGCCGTCGTTGGGGGTGGACTGGTGAGATGTGCTTAGCTTGCTACTTAGCAGGTTGCCTAGTGATAGGCGATGAGTGAAGTTTGTGTGTTTTGATATGGGAAAGTGGATTAGTGAAGCGACGAATGAATGGCACATGTTGTTCACATGGGCGGTGTGTTCGGTGTAGTGATTAATGTTCGCTTCAGTACAACCAGATAGAATAGGAATGTAAAAACAGGTTTGGCCTCAGTGCCGACCCTTTTGAACGTGAATGAACAACAGAAACGTTCCATATCGTATGATATCCCATCGTTTGATTGTATTCTTGGCTGTTACATCCCAACTGAAAATCACAATGATGCTAAAGAGAGGTGGCAAATGTAAATTTTCCATGTTTTGCAAAACCATCGTCTAGAGTGAAACAAATCAGCCAGCACACGGGCGGTCGTGAATATCTACATTTCAAGCGAACGGTGAAGATAGCGAATAGGAAAAATGTCGTAGCTATTTTTAAAACAGTCTATTGTTATTCAATTTCAGCTGCAAGTTTGCAGGTGACAGTAAATTATCAACTACCTTACTTAAGCATAATTTTAACTGCTATGCTTTTGAGTGGTTAGTATTCATTCTCATCTTTGAATTCCATGCAATAGACATCAAATAAATGTGGTAGGTAATTGGCCAGAAATCAGCGAAATTCTAAGTTACATAAATTTAAGTCGCTGGTCTTGTCTGGTTCTTTGAGCGAAAATGTTCTGTCGCTGGCAGAAAACAGTTCAGAAATGGCACGACATTTTTTTCCGCTTTCCAGTTTGTTTGTGATATGGTCATTGCGAAAAAATATTAAAAACCAGTTCTCGTGCCACCACTGATTCAGCCTACACAGGGGTCGTTCATTAATTATGTCACACATTTAGGGGGGAGGGGGGTTTTGAAAACTGTGACGAGCCATATAAAAAAAAATTCAGGCTCATACAAAAAATGTGACAAAGGGGGAGGGGGTTGAAAATGGGCCAAATTTGCGTGACATAATTAATGGACCATCCCACACTTAGAAAAAATGATGTAAATTTAGGTGCTCTGGGACTGACATATACGAGCGTCAGTTTTGACATAAAATTGAGTCATATTAAATGCGAAATTCAGATCAATCCATTGGCGTAGCTAATGGGGGTGCCAGAAGGGCCAGGCCCCCTCCATTTTGGTGTTTTTTTTTGACTCACCGGTATTTTGTCAAGCTTGTTAAGTTCGATGCTACTATTTAACAGGGATCAATAAAATTCGACCACCAACACTAGCGTGCACAGGAATCTTGTGAAGGAGGGGCAATTGTTTTTTTTCCTATGGTGCATTTAATGGGGATGGGGAGTACTCCAAAGTGCGTAGGAGATGGTGATGTCCACCCACCACTGTTTCCCTACTGTTCAATTTAGCTAATTTTATTTATTTTTCACTCCGGTGGTGGTTCATCTTCTTCAATGGAAACTGCTTTCAGACAGCCAATGGAATTGGCAATTTAATCCCATCGACAATGTCGATGATGACCAGTTCGTCGGCCGATCATCATCAATATACCTGATGACAATCGCCAACTGCTCGTGGTGCCCACAATCGCTCGTATCATCTGCAATGATTACCACTGGTTTTCCTCGCAAGGATTTCGCAATGTTCCGCAACATTACATTGTGCAACGATGTAATCATGTCATTTTGAATACGGTTACTTGTGTACTGGCAATTTTTGGCACCTCCCGCCAAGTGTTTTTCCAGCACAGGATGGTAGTTAGCCACCAACTGGGTGGCACACTTTCCGCTCCTTCCGAATATTCACGAAGTGGTCGGCCATCTTTGCAAAGTGTGCGCATAATATCGGTGAAACGTTCCATTATATAGCGATTTTGTAGCCGCTTTGTCTTACTAGCAGCAATCATACCTCTTTTTTTTTGGTGGTCCAGTTCTTCGTCGATACCCTTCCTGATTTTGAAATTCTTCCATGCGTCCATACTATCAACATGGGTATCACTGCGATTGTGTTTGCCCAGCATCTCGGTCGCTTTCTTCCAAATTCTGAATCCTGTAGGAATCGTTGTAATAATGTTTTGCGACATGCTCTCTTTACAGGTTAAAAATATAAACAAAAGAAAATATATTCTTCAAGATACTGGTATCATCTTTTTCGCAGCTACCTTTCTGAAATTTTGTGCAGTACGTTTTTGTATATTTTGAAGGTATCGTTACAGTTTATTTTTTGACTATTTCAAGGTTTTGTAAGCCCTTATACCCGAGTAGGTGAGAATAGCAAACCAATAGCAAGTTTTGCTGTTAAAAATAGGATATCAGAACATCTCAATTTGTTATTAGTTTGATTGAAATAAGAGTTAAAATATCAAAAATAATAACGGAAACCGTTCGGGAGAAAAACTAAATAATAGCAAATCTTGTTATTGTAATATCAAACTAAGAACAAAAAAATCAAAAAAGTCCAAAACATATTTAGCTATGATTGAGGTATTAAGAACTAATCAATTGCAAAATGTGTTATTAACTAATAAGAACTTATTAAGAATAAATTCAGTTGTTCGGATTGAATAACAAAACAATAGCAGCTTTAGTTATTCTTCTTGGAGAGCTTATAATAATGGTAATTTTTTCCGTGGAGAATCAGATTTACTGATAATAATGATTGAGTTCAACAATTCGGCAAAGCTTTTTTTATTTGTTATAATAATAACAATAAAATCAATATGAAATAAAAACGTAACTTTCTAAAAAAAAACCGAACAATGGCTGAACAAAATAGATTTGAAGTGTAGTAGTATTTTCTCTAGCGTAACTTGTGTCGTTTTCTTTGTTGTCGTACATTTGTACGCTTCTTATGATGTCCTATTGCGTTGGCACCTGGCGCAACACAGGATTATTCGCCAGCGCGGTTGCGATGTGCTTATTTATTTGTTGGGACAAATGCTGAGTGACCCCTACTGGGTCCTGCAAAATTCGTCTTCTCTCGTACAGCCGAGCTAGCGATTGATAATAATGATTATAACGTATACAAAGTTGAAAAGATACTATTTACCTTTCATATATTTAACTTTTTCAGGATCCATTTGAACAACCGTTTGAATGTTCTGATTTGGCTCCGGGGCTTTCTTGCTGCGTCCTCTGGGGGTTGTTAGAACACCTGCCGGTCACTGTGGCGTTGCCTACGCCTCTTGGAAACAGCGAGAAGAGCAACTCTTTCACGAACAGATAATCACTCTCGTGTGCATCTTGCGATCAGTGATGGAATTCTCACCAAAATATCATTTTCGCTTGCGATACGTGTTCTCTTGGGAACTTTCCCTCACTAGTTTCACACTCCAATATTTCCTGAGCGAACTTTCTGGGATGAGAGAATGAGATATCGCGAACTTTTTTAACTCGAATCACCAACGTGAGGATACGAAAAATATCAGATCATTTTTTCTCTCTATCTCTTTACACCACATTCGTTCTTGAAAATTGCACTGCACATTTCACAAGGGAAAGATTATAGACAGAAAGCTATCCCGAGTAAATCAATACAATCTCTAAAGACTGATAAGTCTGATACCTGTCTGTCTACTGGCGCCTGTTGTTTAAAGTAGCCGTTATCAGGATGATGTGAACAGTTTTGTGCAACTGATTGATTGGTGCATTGGTTTCTGGCAAAAAAAATGAATGAATCAGCACAAGTGTCAACGCGACATTAACGAGGAACGGGGAGGGTATTGTAAGATTTTGTGACTAGCAATTTTTATATTAAAACCGTTCCTCAGGATAGGGGGTTGCGGAAGGGGGAGCGCCTAATGTATCATCATTTTCACGAAATACAGTTAATGCATGGCTCCTCTCATCACTAGTGTTCGTAATATCGTTCCTGTAAGCTCTTATGCAATAATTATATGCAGGGGGATGGTTGGGAATATAGGTGGTGGTGAACTTTTTCACTGTGCTATTACCAGTGCTGTAAATTCTCAAAATCATTTGAACATTTTTGGTGAAAATGAGAAAAGTAGCTATTCGCTATCAAACGGGACCTCCTCCGAAAGGGTGATATCAGTTGTTTAGTCATTTGACGAAGGCATGGATCATTCTCATTTGAGAAACGCTATATATCATTCGATTGAGTGTAACCTACACACAAACGGAGCTCTGGTCGACATTCCGGCGAAAAAACTAAGCCAACCCGACACCAACCTGACTTCTATCAAACCCCAACCCGATGTTGACCCGACATTGACCCGACATAAACCCAAAATTGACCCGACATTAACACGACATTGGGTCGACATCGACCTTAAATTAGCCTTACATTGATCCGACATCGGGTCGACTTGTCTGTTCGGGACCATTTTCCTGGATTTCTTCCATACTCCACTGTCGTATATCAAATGATACTTAGTGACTCAATTGACAGTGACAATGAGCTTCGAATGAGAAAGGGGCTCTTCAAATTATGGTCATGTGAGAATTCTGTGAGGGGATATTTGGTTGGTTCGAATCACGAGTACGTGTGAAATGATGTGAGATGGAGAGACGAAAGATCTTTCGCGATACGAAATGAAAATTTCTCTCGCTCTACGCTTCCATGAACTTTTTATCATCTCTCGTTCGCGAACTTTTTGTGAGAAGTTCCTTTGGGATTTATCTCTGCAATGAGCTGTGATAGAACTTTTTTTGAAAATGATTTTTCCAACACTGCTTGCGATACCCTCAATAGCCAATTTGAGTTGGGGTATCTTGGGATGTCGGAGAATGATAATCCCATAGGTTTCTCCACCAGAGATTCTTGAAGATTCTTCCGCTGACATTATCTCGATTGTCTGACGTAGCTCATTCACCGTTCTTAAATAATCAACATTCGGTTCTGGCACACCAACTTCAGCACATCCCGCAAACAAACTTGTACTACTGTCTGAGTACTCAGGGCTAAAAGCAGAGTTTGCAGAAGTTGTTCCAGCAAATTCATGGTCTTGAAAATTTTGTGGAGTCCCAGACGTGCAAGGAAAGACACTACTGTCATGA